AATAAGGTGGTGGGGACTTTCCCATTCTCCTTTACCTCCCTCTGACCAATTACACAAGAAGAAGAAAGCAGCCCGCATCTCCTCCGGCGTCACTCCTTCTCCCCAGCGCTGTCTTGTCGTTGTGGCTATTATATGACAGTAGTAGTGATGTTGCCAGTAAAAGGGTACCCACCTCTCCAAACTGAAGAGCAGAGACAATCATCAAGACCATGCCCCAAAAACAGAGATACTGCCTATGCCTGTGGCACAGACAGCTACAGGTCAGCAGCGTGGAAAAACAGATGGTATATCTCCGCCACCTTTAACAGCTATTGCACTAAGGTATGTGGAGCTTTGTCAGTGACTGTCACTACATTGTAGAACTACACACAAGCAGTGCAATGCTGATCCTGTACATAGTCATAGAAAGAGGTCTCTGCCTTCATTAGACCAAGAAAGCTCATGCTTGGTAAAAGGATTCCAGTTCTAGTTGTTTACAGTGTTTAGTTTTATAAACCATGCTGTTGTGTTTTCTTGTAGTTTGTAGAACTGACACATCGGCAAGACCTGTGTCCTATAATGTTCCTAAAGAACAGGGTTTTACTGTTAAGACAGTACAGTACCCAAGCAATACAAACTAAAGAGGGGCAACACAGCAAACAAAATGCCAACAGACCCACATAACAACGAAGTACCCAACGTGACTCAAAAAAAATCATAGTAACCTGCAGATCATTACAACAGAAGCGGACATCAGCTGAAGTCTGGACATCTACCTAGTAAAACTTGACAAGCGTGAACAGAGGACCAGGTTGCAGACCAGTCTCAGACCAGGTATCTGAGACATAGATGCCTGATGCTTAAAAACCAATGAAGCACTAACTGATCTAGTGGAGTCCTTCTAGTGGAAAGAAGGAATCTTGCCCTTAAGTCCAAAACTTGAATAATGACCTGTCAAATCCACCAGGAAATGGAGGAGCCAGAAGCCGGATGTCCCCTGGAGGGGCCCTCTGGAATGACAAAGTGGAAGTCAAATTGTCTAATTGAAGTTGTAGCAGAGAGGTTGACTCAAACAGCACGTAAAACATCCAAACAGTGAAGGGATACCTCCTTAGGATAATAAAGACAGGAGGCATTTGGCCTCTATACAACTTTATTTCTGTTCAGCACAAAGAAGGGTTCCTTAAAAGTTAAGACTGCCAATTCAAAGACATGTTGTGCCGAGGTGATAACAACAAGAAAGTCAACCTTGTGGGTGAGGGAAAATGAAAGGGAAAATCCTTGATACACTTAAAGGGCAGTTTTTGGGGTCAACAGAACCAGGTTAAAATCTCAAGGATTCATGGGGAATGGATAGGGGAGACAATGTGAGCAATGTCCTGTACAAAGACTTTCACTAAGGAGTGAGAAGCAAGCATTCTTTAAAAAAGAATCACCAGGGCCGAAATCTGGTCATTGATGGTACTCAAGTCTAACTGTTGATCCAGTCCCAACAAGCCTAACTTCGCACCATGTGAAATATACCTTGCAGGTGGAACGGTAAACCTTACAAAAGGTCGACTTCTTTGCCTTCAAAAGTATAGGTTTAACTTAGGGTTGCACAGATACCAAGTACAGTACTCGGTACAAGTACGAGTACATGTACCGATACTTTTGAGCTCCAAGACTAGACTAGAGAAAAATTCAAAAGTTAGGAGGCGGCTGTCATTTGTAAGGAGCACACGGAGCTCCCGGGATTTGTACATCTCTGTTTTAATGTACGATTTTGTTTTTATAAATATAAATAAAGGGATGCACAGATACCAGTTTTGCGAGTACTGGTACTTGCCGAGTACTTACAAGTACGAGTACTGATACATTTTTGTTTATTGTCATGTGACAGGTTTTCTAAAACAATACAGACTAATGATTTCAGGACAGTGGTGGAGTGCCAGAGTCAGGTCCCAGCTGCAACCGCTGCAACCCCGGTAGTTCTCATGAAAATGCCAAGTATCGGCACTGGTACTCGAAAAGTATCTGTGCAACCCTAAGTTTAACTAGTAAAAAGGCTTCTGTCCTTTAGAATCTGGGCTTTAAGGCCCCGTTCACACTGAGCGATTTATTGTGCGGTAATTCCCGCGATATCGCGGCTATTTACCGTGCGATATTGCTCTCCAATGCTTGGCAATGGGGCAAAGGGTCCTGCTGTCACGGGTCGTGCGTCGCTACAGCAGGACCCTATTTGGAGCGGATTTTGCCGCGATTCCAGCTTGCTCAATGCAAGCATTTGCGCCATATCGCGCGACAAATTGCGCGATATCGCGCAAGATGCAAATCGCGCAACAAATGCGCGATTTGCGAATCGCGCAGTGTGACTGGAGCCTGACAGCCAAGCCATTAAAGCCAACAACCGCAAGCAGGGTGTTCAACTGGCTCCTGGGACAGCAGGTCCAGATGATCTGGAAGAACCCATGGAGAGTCTGCCAGAAGTCTGATGAGATCCAAGTATCACATTTGCCTGGGCCAGTTTGGTGCACTGAAAGTCATGGAAATACCCTTAATGCTGTGCAGATCAGGCTGATCTGATCCTATGGAGTCAACAGGGCATCCACTGCGAAGGCCAGGGAATACCTGGGCTTGGGCATGAACCTTTCCAGTTTGTTGTTGAACCTGGAACCGGATCCAGGGGTATGCAAAGATTTTTTTTCAAACATGGAAGATATTGGAGTTCAGGGCTTGCAGAGAACCAAGTTCCAGTTTTTTCAAAGACTTGTGGGGAACCTGTTTCCTGTGGGGAATGAAAGGAACTATTTCTAGAAGCAGAGAATTTTTTCAGACTTTTTGCCCTCTTTTACTTGGGCAAGAATGTGCTCTTCTCCCATGGTCTCCCATAAACATGTCCAAGGCATTCCCCTTCAAAAGGAGTATTTAACTGATATATTCTGCATGGATTTAACCAGTGGTGGACCTAATAACCAAAGGGCCCTGGTGCAAGATTTTATCTTGGACCCCCATCCCAAGACATGGCGGGGGGCGTGGGAGCGGATCACACTGGCCCCTGAACCCCCCCAGTGGTCTCTAATGTTGCAGTAGCGTGCTGGGTTCTGGACTTAACTGAGACCCTGCAGAGCACACCATAGATCCTGCACCTGAGACTCTCTATGGTGGGCTCTACAGGGTCCCAGATGGGCTGGTCGTCGGGGTCCCTTTCCCTTTACCTCCTCCCAACTCTTCTTACCTGCTGCTGCTGGGGCCTGACCATCCCTCCCCTGTCACCTCTACCATGCCGCCCCTGGTACAGCTGATACCCATGTAAGAGGCCCCCCCAGGCTGCCCAGACCCCTCACATGGGTACCGGCCATACCCCCCTGATGGCGGTGTTCTATCAAAGTTTGTGACTACGTTACAATGTGTGACCGTTGACGTGGACACACGTTATAATGTAATCCCACCCAGTTTTTTGGAGGTGGAATGTGTGACCGCCAATAGGTGAAGCATTCCAACGCTTTCTCAGATGTTCCAGTGTAGATCGGCATCACAAATCGCATGTGCAGGAGACCTGGAACAGCTGTTCGGTCCTGAAATGTCACTTCTCCCCGACTCTGCGACTGCGATCTCACATTCCACCGTACTCACAAAGTCGGAACTGACATTTCAGGACCGAACAGCTGTTCCAGGTCTCCTGCACATGCGATTTGTGATGCCGATCTACACTGGAACATCTGAGAAAGCATTGGAATTCTACACCTATTGGCGGTCACATATTCCACCACCAAAAAACTGGGCGGGATTACGTTAAAATGTGTGACCACGTCACTGGTCACACATTCTAACGTAGTCTCAAACTTTGATAGAACAGAGGCCTAGTTTGTAATCATTTAATCAGAGAAATAGATTATAATAGGGAACATTACAGTGTTGTGTTCCCAATTATAATCCACTTTCCTAATTAAATTAAATGACAGCACACAACCCTC